AGAATGATACATGTAATATCTTGTATGGTATAAAAAATTCTGTTTGTAGACTTATTTCTTTAATCAAAAGATCATCTCCTTTTAGGTACAAAAGATCTTAAAAAGAGTTCTTAACATAAATATATAAATAAATAAAAAAGGGCAGCCCGGTGCACAAAGCATCCCACATAGAGTACGAGGAAGGACGGCACCCCATGGGCGTGTGATGTAGGCAGCCTACCCTGATGTCAAACATTAGTGGCTGATTCCACGGCTTGAACCCGTGACCTATAGGTCACACAGAGACAACTTTATCGTTGCTCCCCTTTTCTTAACACAAATAGTACAGATAAATATAAGAAATATCCCACGTTTCTTCAATCCGGTAAACCTAATTAACATTAGTACCAGTCGTACAGTTTACTTCTTACCGTAGCATTATTCTTTCTCTAGCACCTTTCAGTCTGCGCCTCTCAAAATCAAGATCCCGCATTGCAGCACTGATCTCTAGTTCAAGAGCAGAAACCTTGGCCCACGCCTCTTCCCGAGCTGCCTGCTACCGACAACAAAAGAATTGATAGAAAGAACAAAAGAAAAAGAAAAAAAAGATCAGAGTTCACATTTGACATTCTTTCCTGATCATACATGTAATAGTTTGACGAAAAAATACAGATCCACTTCTAGCAAGGCACAATCTTATCTTTCCTTTCCACATCCAAGGGGCTCAATCGAGTAGCAAACAAAGGGGAATATCTCAAGATCCATATTTCAATAATTAATGCCAGGAAATCATATGGTCATCCTACCTTTTCACTTTCAAGCTCTTTGCTCAAAATTTTCCTCTCATGCTCAAGTTCCTCTATTCTCTAAGAAAAATTAGAAGATGCAAGACGTCAGCTTCTCAAGCAAGGAACTGAAAGGGGAAGCAATTGATATATTGTTAACAGATGTTTACTTTTTTCCTACAGGCAGAAGATAATTGCTCCTCACGAACTTGAGCTTCGAGCTGACGAACTTTGTTGTCAGAAATAACCAATTTCTGCCTGGTGTCTTCCTGTTAAAAGCTAATGAATTAGGAGCTGGGGTGGCTTACAATAAGTAAAAGGTAGGTTAGATAATATTACCAACTTGGATCTCAAAGTTTCCACCAGTGAACATCTTTCCTTCTCTGACTCCTGCCATCATGAGTTAAATAAGAAAGAGCAATGGGACGTTTTCAAATTCTCCTGCATAGTAGAGGTTAATTTCTACCTGAAGCTTATTAATAATTTCTTGCTGCTCTTTTTCTCGTCTGATAGCAGATTCTGAGAGCCGTTTTATTTCCTCCTGGGCTTCTGCCTGCACTCTCTGTATAGAGGTTTTCAGATCCAAAGCAGCCTTTTCACGTTCTTCTTTCCTCTGTTCACGCTCCTCGTCAAGCAAAGCTTTTAGTTCTAAAATTGATGCTTTCTGGCTGAAAAAGCAAACACCACTTCAAATTTTTAACTCACCTTTCCTAAAAATAATCGTAAGCTAATTCAGAAAACAGTGTGTTCCCAAAGAATAAAACCGGGAAATTGGCATATAAAGTAGTATGAGCCATGCAAGGACAAGGATGTAAACAAGAATGAACTTGGGATTTTCGAGCTTATTTAATAAGGAAACGAGGAAGTGGACAAGATAAACAAGAAAGCACAACGTCATTCACGATTCCTCTTAATTCAATACAATGCCATTCATGATTCCTCTTAATTAAATCAATGGCATAGTAGAGCCATTACCTGCTAATTATTTCATTGGCTTCAACACAGGATTGCTCAGATGCACTAAGTCTTTCATTAAGGCCTTCCAAAGCATGATTCTGCTCTGCAGATATTCTATTTGATTCAACAAACTCCTTTTCTTTGGCTTCCAATGACTGCTGTAATTCTTTGAGTTCTTCCAGGTATGGTTTAGAAACCGATTCCCTCAATTCTTTCATTTCCTGCAAGACAAAGGAAATCTCACTGAGACAGGTGGAGAGATAGGATCTGTCAACCAACTAGTAATGGGGGAAAAAACAATATGACCATACAAGAAACAGGAGTCAATCAAGGAAGACAGATCAATTTCCATTAACTCACACCAACAGAGAAACGACCCTGTCAAGATTTATTATAACATCCTCCCTCCTACCTCCACATGCCTAGCATCTTTTCTTCAAAAATATACCTAGCATCTTTAATCATCAGAATTAGATGTACTGGAATCCGACAGATTTTGGAAAGGTAAATATTATTCATATTATGGAAAGTTCACTGCTCCCCAGAATGAATAGCTTGCAGCAGAGAATATAACTTTCTTTAGGTACACTGTACTTCCAAAAACAGACAGAACCAGAAGAAGACAGTATTTTGTCTGGTCCTACTTCTAATCTCTGGTACTACCGTACTAGTGCATGCCATTTTACCCTACCAAAGAAAAATTAATAAAAGATAACAGGATTTGGAAAGCAAATGTTATTTCAATCAAAAGGTGCAAGACCTAAGAAATAAACATATTACTCAACTCCAAAGGTGCAAAAACTTGAAACCGCAAATGAAAGCCAAAGATTTTAAAGTAAAGAAAAAGTAATTCACACCTTGAAATGTTTCTTAGACGCTTCTGTCTCGAACAACTATTTTCTTCATGGTGTATAAAGCTTTTCTTTAGCATATTGCACTACTCGTTTCTAAAATGAGTTGCATGCTAGGAGAGATCTAGTTTTACATCTTATGATGCTATTGACATTAGCAAAGAAAAGAAAAATTCAGAAGCTTTCCGATTAAAAGTGTTTACACAGTTGAAAGTGTTGATATGTCGACCACAGGCAAAACACTGAGTTTTCTAACCCATCTACCTCGAAATTTTTAGTATTACAACTAAATAAGTTCGGAATTAAGCATTTCAAAATGGTTGTGTATTCTCAAAATTGTATGAGTAAACATACCATCTCATGACGGTCCACAGCAGCACGATTTTCATTGCGCAAGGAATCAATAGTTGCGACATGACTTTCCAGTTGCTTCCGCAGTTCCTACAACAGTACCAGAACCGAAATCACCAAAAGGCAGTATAGGAGTAATAAAACAACCTTGAAAGACTGCAAAAGAAAAACTAATTTCTTTGATAAATGAGAATAGAAAACTACCGTGTTTGACCGCTGCAGGCTGCGGAAGTCATCCAGAGAAATGGGACCTTCAGAAGTGCCAATTCCAATTCCCTTGAATCTTTTGCTTTCCGAACCAAACTCCTCTTAACCAGAAAAGACAAAAGCAAGTTAGTAAAGCTACCTTTGCCCAGCTTATCAATAATAGAAAACAAAACACAGTAAAGATATAAGTTACAACATTAAACATGTCATTTGAAATTACAATTACCTGATATAGAAATGAAAACTGTCATTAGGTTGGAAAACAGATATGATAGGTATCAACCCGTTGATACTTAAATAAAAAACAACTAAATGTGATGATTGATCATTAAAATTCAGCTAAAAAAGTTTAGGAAGAAGTTGCATCAGAAACTGGCAAAATTCGCACATTCAAAAAAATGCTGCTCATTTATTACTGCATCCACTGTGATGGTTCAATGAACGTCAAGAGATCATGTTTCCAAATACACTGTGGGATAAGTAGTTGGCAAGAATCAGAATCATATTTCAAATAAATTAAACAAGTTCGAGCCGAGATAAGTGGGCATCCTTCAGTTTTCTAATAGGTGCATAAACATTCTTTATTCTTTAGCTAAATCAACATACATTGAGTCCAAAAACAGTGTTGTCAAAAGCGAAAGAAGAGCGAAGAAATGAACTAAGGTATGCTAGGGTTTAATCGCAAAGCACTATTGAAGCACGCACTTCAGATCAGAAGGTGCAGATAAAGAAAAACTTAAACTAAACATAAATGCAGTGCAAGTTAAAAATACTGCGATAACAAACAACACTATATGAAAAAAGGAATTTTAAAAAACATAATTAAATGAAATATCAAGTATATAAAGTAAATATCCTGTCAGTCAAGTCCAAAAAAGAATAGATTTCTTCTTCAGATAAAAAGATGCAATCATAAATTTCTCATTTGCCTTTAGTGATTAGTTTTCTTATGCTAAGTTTCTATTTTCATACTTCTAATCACATAACACATTTATCCGTAACTTCCCTCACCAATTGTCATAACATACCAATACCAGATTTGTTTATTTTTAACTTCCATTCTCCTCGAATGGGAGCTCATGTGGCGCCTTGGTATACATCACAGCGCTTTGTTGCCTGTACTAAAGTGTTGCTTAAGCGAGGTAAAGCATAGGTTGCACTATACCTAGCTTCAGGGCTTAAGAGCATCAAGTGTGATTTGAACAACACTTCTCAAAAGTTCACTTCAGGACCAAAGCCATGAAAACAAGGTAACAAACCAGATAACAATGAACTAGAAATCATTGAGTAGATGAAATGCCATATACTTATAGAACACAATATTAGTTGAAATGCTCCAAAATGACGATACTGATGAACGAACAATCATTGAGCAAATCTACCTGCTTTTCTCTTTAGAACAGCAGCATCAGCTGAAGAAACAGACATGAGAACTTCTCGGAACACAAAGGCAAATGAAAGTTCTGCAAACATTACAAGGAAAAAGAGATTTTGCTAAGTCCCATCAGTTTTGTAAAAGAATATCATGCAATAAAAAACAGATAAAACTTCGGCAACCAATCATAGCACAGAGAAATTTCTATTTTTAAAGTTAAAATAAAATTTTATTTATAAAAAAATCAGGTTCTATCTTAAATAAATAACAACAGATAATTTTTTTTCTTTTGTCCATTCATATCCCGGAGTGGTGGGGATGGAGGTTATGATGTTATCCTGGTAGAGCATTTTAACCTGGAGATACAACGTCAACGGGGAGGGGAAGAGCGAGAGGGAGGGAGTATGACGACTATAGTCTCAAACGTCAAAGATTAANGCTTGCATACTTCATTTCTGCTTGAATACTCAAGTATTTTTATCTTTGATTTGTAGCTGGATACTCAAGTATTTTTATGAAGAGAATACTCAAGTATTTTGTCACATCCAGACATTATATGATGATGCTCCGTACCAGATCTTCAGCTTTGGGGTCTAGGCTTTAAAGATATCTCTTCTGAAAGTTAGGATGTAATAATTTGTTCGTGTCCTACCCTTCAAGATATAATATTTTGTATGCACCAGCTTATTTCTGGTGGCCATCCTATTTTTGTAGAGCATTAAACCATCTTGAGGCCTGAAGCCATTATTAATAGAGCTATCAGGTCCCAAATTATGAGCTCTACCAGTTAATACAGACACTCAATAGCTAACAAATTAAACATGGAGTGAGAATTTATCATTTTGGTCCACTCTACAACTTACCTTCAGAAAACTCAATTTTTCATACTTCATAGACTCCGCAAATGTGAGCCTCATCGCGTAGCACGAAAAAAGATAATCAGACTTTATGTGATGGAGTTCAAATAATTCAAAGAAAAATCAGCCTCAACATTTTCTACATGGCATACAAATGTCTGAAAAGGACCAAAAAGAGAACTCTAAGAAAAAATGTGGAGGTATTGAAGAAGAATAGAGACCTGAAGACGCTTGCGGGCCTTATCGGAGATGGCAGTTAAGACGCCCCAAACGTCAGGATCAGAGTACTGCAAAGGCTGAGACGCAATTTTCGAAGCCACCGATAGTACAAAATCTTCAGGGCTCTGCGGATTTCTCTGCAACGGAGAATTATCAGTGCCATTGGCATCGGTAATTTTGCAGTTGTTATTGCTGTTGCAATTGCTGCGGGGAAGGGAAGAACATGATTCGGAGAGAACCGGAGACTGGTCTTTATTAGGGTTTGAGTTCGGTTTAGAAATCAGTGGAGTTGTGGGATTATCGTCTTCCTTCGCCATTCATTCACTGATTTCGTGAACTGAAGCTATCACACAGTGTCAGTGTTCTTGTGAAAAAAAGGCGGGGATTTTGAGAACCCTAATTAAGTGAACCGGGTTTCGTTGATCGCCTAGCTTGCTGGGGAAGCTGAGTGACTTTTTGTTTGATTTATTATTTAGGCCCCCAAACTTTTGGTGTTGTACTTATTTTGGCAGCATTTTATATGACACCATAAAATACTTCTTAAAGTTTTGAGTAAAAACTTTGTGATTTATAAATGTGGTTTTTGAGTTTTGACATGTTTTATTTTACAAGTATTTAGGACTCGATGTTTAAATTCATGCAAAATATTCAATAAGTTAACACTCATACTTTGAATCGCGTCAATCTTTTTTGAGACAAATAGTGAATCCTTGAAATTTATTTAATCAACTAGTGTTAGTGTATGCATTCTGCGCTTGTACCCTATCTCAAAAAGTAAAAATTTATTTAAAATTTATCTTTGAATTATAAAATAAAAGTATAAATTCCTAAAAATAGTTAATATGATTGTGTATAATTAACTCTACAACAAAAGAAATTGTCCAACATAAATACTCAATTATTAGTTAACAATTCAATTTAAAATTTATTCTAATGATTAAAATTAGAATTGAAAGTGTGTATTTGATTTTGAACTGTCATTATAATTTATTCTTTCAACCAGATCTCATGAATTTAGAATTTTATTTTTATTATGTCTGTATAATCAATTCTCATTTAATTGGGACTTTTTAAAAGTAAGTATAGTTTAATTAAAAGAATATATTAATTTTTTAAACTATATTGAAAACGGGGACGCGAAAAAAATCAGCTAGGAAGCTATAGGAATTGAAGTTTTATCCAAGTTAAGTAGCAGTTGTGTGGTAGCGAGGAAAGTTGATTGTTGTCTCTATAGCACTGGGGCTACTGTCCAGTGCATAGATTTTGTTTTTATTTTGTCTGTGAGTTGTATATAATTTCAATGGTAATAAAAGTTTTTTATTTACCAAAACAAAAACTGGGAGCACAAAAATAACTGGAAAAAGTAATTACTACTGGAAAAAGAAAGCAGAGGAGCATTCAAATGTTGTGATTTAAAGTTTACAAATATGGCGTCTTCGTGTTCATGCTGTATATTATTTGGAATACCACGGCTCAAATTTTAATGATACAATCCATTAATAATTATTTATGGCAAGGAAATAACATAATATGCATATCTCTTCTATTTAGATAGCTACATTGGCTAAAAAATAATCTCATGCTAAAATAAGAGGGGGGGGAGAGGGGGGGGGG